TCCTCAAGGACGTCCGTGCCAAGAGCACACTCACCCCCGACGGACGGAGGGCAGACAGACTCAGACTCAGCAACAAGACTAGCGGCGTAGTCTAGACGACAGGCAGCAGCAAAGTCAACAAGCTCAGCAACTAAGGCAGACGTAGTAGCAGACTCAAACGACGGGTCAGTGACAACAGTGGCTAGCAGACGCGTGACAGTAGGGTGCTCAGCACGAAACCGGTCAGACTCGGGGTCCGCAACGACAGGCAGAGAAGACGCAGGAGGGGACGGCAGAGGAACACGCTGTGGAGGAGAGGAAGAACGACGGACTACGAGGTGGGTGTCGGGGACAGCCGGCAGACGCGGACGAGGAACACGACGACCGGAACGACCAGAACAGACAGGCGAGACAGGACGCGACGCAGGCTCACGACGCTCAGTAAGACTCCCTAGCTGCTCAGTGTAAGGAGAAGGAGCAGGCAGCGGTGAGCCAGGCTGTAACGGAAGACCAGTAGACGAAGGGAGACTAAGAACCTGGCGAAGCACAGAGTCAGGCGGTGGCTGAGACGACGGAGACGGTGGAGCGAAGAACAGGCGCGGCTGTGCAGTGACACCAGCACCAGGAGCTCCAGTACCCCCAGCAGCTCCAGCACCTCCAGCAGCTCCAGAACCTCCAGCGCCAGCACCCTCAGCAGCTCCAGAACCTCCAGCTCCAGCGCCACCAGCGCCAGTACCTCCAGCAGCTACAGAACCCTCAGCGCCAGCTCCTCCAGGACCAGCTCCACCAACAGCAGCACCCCCAGAACCGGCACCTCCAGTCCCAGGGTCTCCAGCCTCAGTGCCTCCAGCAGCAGCACCCTCAGGCTCAGCACCTCCAGCCCCAGCAGCTCCAGTACCTCCAGTACGAGCACCTCCAGGACCAGCACCACTCCCAACTCCAGTGACGTCAGCAGAAGTACCTCCAGCGGCAGAGCCCCGAGCTCCAGAAGCGCGACCCTGACGCCGACCGTACCAGTCGTGCAGCTGCTGCGAGGTGAGAGGCACACGCGGACGAAGGCGGCTACTCCAAGGAAGCCGCGCAACAGCAGACTCAGAACCCTCAGCGCCAGAACCCGCAGCAGCTCCAGAACCTCCAGCGCCAGCACCCTCAGCAGCTCCAGAACCTCCAGCTCCAGCGCCACCGGCGCCAGCACCTCCAGCAGCTCCAGAACCTCCAGCTCCAGCACCCTCAGCAGCTCCAGAACCCCCAGCAGAAACAACTCCAATGGCAGAGTCACCAGCTCCAGCACCTCCCGCAGCAGGGCCCCTAGCTCCGGCAGCGCGACCCTGACGGCCAGCGTACCACTCAAGCAGCTGCTGTGGGGAGAGAGGGAGTCGACGACGAGAGTGCAGCGGCGAGGCACCAGCGGAGCGACTACGGAGACGGCCGCTCCAGGGAGACTGCTCACCAGACGCCTCAGCGCCCCCAGGCTCAGCACCCCAAGACTCCTCACACCTAGGCTCAGCACCTCCAGTCTCCACACCCCCAGGCTCCGCACCTCCAGGCTCCGCACCCCCAGGCTCAGCACCCCCAGAAGCAGCACCCCGAGCAGGACCACCCTCAGCAGGACCCGAGTCACCAGTGACCTCAACTGGCGCAGTCAAGGGAGGAGGGTCTACCTGAGACACACCTGAAGGAGCAGGACCGGGAGCGGGGAGGGGGTCTACCTGGGGAGCACCTGGAGCGAGGAAGAGCGGCGGGGGGGGGAGAGGGGCAGTGCGGTAGGGGAAGAGACCGTAAAAGGGAACCGACTCGTCGAACGTGACGTCCTGAGAGGGGAAGACACGGCGCGAGGTGGGGTGGTAAAACTGCCAACCAGGCGCGTCAGGGACAAAGCCAAGGAAGACACAGGGAACAGCTCGGGCGGAGAGCTTGTCCGCGGTGGTATCGCGGACAAAGGCACGAGCACCCCAGATCCGGAAACGCGACGCATCGCCAACCTTCCCCGTCCACAGCGGTGTGGGCGAGGTCTCCGGCAAAGAGACACGGGGCCAGAGGTTGAGCTGATGCGCGGCGTACCGGACCGCAAACGGCCACAGAAAATGGGGGGCAGCTGCATGGATCATGGAGGTACGAGCGACCTCCATGACTAAGCCAATGCGGCGCTCAGCAACCCCATTTTGCTGCGGAGAGGCCGGAAGCGTGAACGTCTGGCGGATGCCGTGCTCCGCACAGTAGGCTGCCAAGAGGTCTGAGGAGAACTCACCACCCCTGTCAGAGTGCAGACGCAGGACAGGAAAGTCCGACTGGAACCGCTCGCGGAGCTGGAGACGAACAGCGCGGATCCAGGGGATCAAAACATCAGGGACCTCCCCCTTGCTGCGCAAGGGGAAGACCGTGGTGTAACGCGTGTAGTCGTCGACGACCAGCAGGAAGTACCGCTCGTGGCCCTGTCCACGGACGCGGGCTGGGCCCCACACGTCCAGGTGGAGAGTCTGCAGGGGAGCCTCTGTGGGAGGGAACGAGGAGGAGTGAGGAGCGGCGCGCTGCCGCCCCTCGACACAGGGAAGACAGGGAGGAGCAGGCGAGGGTGGTAGAGGAGGCAGAGTCTCTGGAAGTCCAGAAACAAGGAAACGGCGGTGCATGCTACGAAGGCGCTGCACCGAGGGGTGACCAAGGCGGTGGTGCCAAAGGAGGGTCTGGTGCGACAGAGCGCTACACGAGCAGGGGGCCGCTAGCTGACCTGACGCAGACGCAGACGCAGACGCAGCTACCTGAGGGGACACAGTGGTCAGTGTGTACAGACTCGAGCCAGGCTCACGGGTGAACGTGGCCAGGTGCCGACCAGTCCGGGAGCACGTACAGTGTGTCACACGCTGACCTCCAGGGGTGAACTGGTCAACCCACACATCCTGTAGGTCAGCTCCACTCACCAAGTTCGTAGAGAACGAGGGGAGGTGAAGACCTGACAGGGAGCCAGACGGGACCGCCGGACACGGCAGGACCGTGGAGGAGTGCGCAAGGACTGGACCCCCAGAGGGGTCTGCCAGGGAGACTGCAACCGGCCGACGGAGCGGCGTGAGTGTGGTGCTGTCGCGAAAGAAGGAGCGGGAAGCACCTGAGTCAAGTGTGAAGGTGTATACGGCCTCAGCAGGCGCAGTACCAGAGAGAGCAGACTCACCAGCACCTGGAGCAGCAGCCTCACCAGTACCTAGAGCAGGAGACGCACTAGCACCTAGAGCAGCAGCCTCACCAGCACCTAGAGCAGCAGGCTCTATACCTGGGTCAGGTGGTACGCACGGGGAACAGGCACGGTCAGCACTAGTAGGCAATGCATACATGGCAGTGAGAATAGCATCATAGTCAAGAGCAAAGATATCTACTCTCTGCCCAAGCAGCTCCAGCAAGGTGGGGAGCTCAGCCTCGTCGCCAAACTTGGTACGCCAGGCGTCGCTCAGACGGGCGAAGCAGCGGGACTGTGTGTGACCAAGCGTCCCGCAAGCCTGACCGGTCCGATCACCTGTGCGAATGACGTACGGGCAGCGAACGGTACTCAAAGACCCTCTACTCTGAGCGTACCACTCGTGAAGCTGCTGGGACGTAAGTGTCTCGCGTGGACGCCGCTGCAGCTGCAGCTGGCTACTGCCAGACGCTCCCAACTGACCAGCTCCAGGGCGACAGCTACGACGGCTACCGCCACAACCCCAACTAGCGTACCACTCACGAAGCTGCTGGGGCGGGAGAGACTCGCGTGGACGTCGCTGGAGCTGCATCTGGCCACCGCCAGTAGCAGCAGTAGCAGTAGCAGTAGCCTAGCAGTAGTAACAGAAGTAGCAGCAGTAGCAGCGCGGGCAGGGCAGGCGCGGCAGGCAGGCAGGCAGGCAGGCAGGCAGACAGGCAGGCAGGCAGGCAGGCTGGCAGGCAGGCAGATGGCGCGGCAGCGCGCTAACAAGGCAGGTGCTCACCAGTGGCGGGAAGAGCAGGCGCTCGCCGGGCGAGGGGCGGCGACGCGGGTCCAGGGGCGGCGTCGCGGGGTCCAGGGGCGGCTGCACCAGGGGCGGCTGCTTCAGGGGCCAGGGGCGGCTGCTCGAGGGTCCAGGGGCGGCTGCACCAGGGGCGGCTGATTCAGGGGCCGGGGGCGGCTGCTCTGGGTCCAGGGGCGGCTGCTCGAGGGTCCAGGGGCGGCTGCACCAGGGGCGGCTGCACCAGGGGCGGCTGCTTCAGGGGCCGGGGGCGGCTGCTCGAGGGTCCAGGGGCGGCTGCACCAGGGGCGGCTGCTGCAGGGGCCAGGGGCGGCTGCTCTGGGTCCAGGGGCGGCTGCTCCAGGGGCGGCTGCTTCAGGGGCCAGGGACGGCTGCTCTGGGTCCAGGGGCGGCTGCTCGAGGGTCCAGGGGCGGCTGCACCAGGGGCGGCTGCTTCAGGGGCCAGGGGCGGTTGCTCTGGGTCCAGGGGCGGCTGCACCAGGGGCGGCTGCTTCAGGGGCCAGGGGCGGTTGCTATGGGTCCAGGGGCGGCTGCTCCAGGGGCGGCGTAGCTGGTACAGGGCAGTGCGCGGCAGCAGCACTGCAGCAGCAGTTCAGGCGCAGCAGCTTGAGTGCAGCAGTAACACGGGCCGCGTGCGGGCCAGGCATGGGCTGTAAGGGCTGCGTGCGGGCCTGGCGCGGGCTGTACGAGCTGCGTACGGGCCTGGCGCGGGCTGTACGGGCTGCGTGCGGGCCTGACGTGGGCTGTACGGGCTGCGCGACGGCCTGGCGCGGGCTGTACGGGCTTCGCGACGGGCCTACGCGGGCTGTACGGGCTTCGCGACGGGCCTACGCGGGCTGTACTGGCTGCGCGCGGGCCTGGCGTGGGCTGTATGGGCTGCGCGACGGCTTGGCGCGGGCTGTACGGGCTGTGCTCGGGCCTACACGGATTGTACGGGCTGCGCACGGCAGAAAAGGGCAGGGCAGCGCGAAACGCTAGGCAGGGCAGAAACTAACGGTCGGGCAGGTGAAAACGAATGTGGTGGGCCCTTAATTACGGTCCTAGGCTAGGACCATCCTAGCTCTTAATACCATGTTAGAATACTAGGAAGTGATGATGTCATTGGGTGAAGGGGGGGGTACAAGAAGAATGTCGAGAGAAATATTGTACCCCCTAGTGCTAACCCCCATACAGCCTAGATAACCTAAACATGCATATATTGTTTGACACCACGGGGGTTCTCCATCGCCCACGAGGCGCCAGTACCCGTCCCTGAGAGCCTCCGCCTGCTGCTCCGACGCCACTCGCAGCAGCGCCTCCACTCGAAAGTTGATGCCCAGCCGGCCAAGTAGTTGTGATTGGCTTATGGGGCCGTATGCCCGTGCCGGCACTGTAAGGGTTGAGACGGGTGATGGGGGATGAGGAAATGGGGGGAGAGAGGGGGCATAAGGAGGGGACGAAGGGGTTGCCTCTACGCGGAAGTTGATGCCCAGCCGCCCCAGCAGCTGTGACTGGGTGATGGGGCCGTATGCCCGTGCCGGAACTGTGAGGAATGAGAAAACGAAGAGGTCACGAGAAGGGGAGGGGGAGAATAGGAAAAAAGGCAGGTTTCTCACTGTGAAGGGGAGGGCTTACGTGGTGAGGAGGGAACATGTGCAAGATTGGGCATGGGGAGACATGGACAGCTGCAGCAACACTGTGTAACTGCCAACAGGTGGGTATGAAGCAGACGTGGCAGCAGCAGGTGTGCACACGGATCATTGGCGTACGAGTGGCCACTGGAGCAATGTGAAGGTTCAGCATGCATGAGAGGAGAAGGGGCAACAGCATTGCATGAGCGAAACAGGTGTGAAGTTTTCATTGTGGAGATCCCATCATGAAGTCCCCATAGTTGATGAGAGTTCCCCATAGTAGATGAGAGGTCCCCATAGTTGATGAGAGGTCCCCATAGTTGATAAGTGGTCCCCATAGTTGATAAGTGGTCCCCATAGTTGATGAGAGGTCCCCATAGTAGATGAGAGGTCCCCATAGTTGATAAGAGGTTCATAAGAGCACGTTCCCATAGTCATTAAGAGGCTCTTATACCTGACAAAAAAGTTCTCAGCAGAGCTACCAGAGGCGGAGAAGCACTCACACTTGGAGTCGATGACAGTTTGGCGGAGGGCAGCGAAGTCCACATACGCACTCAGGTCCGCCGTGCCAGGCGCATCCAGCACATTCACAAACTCATGCTTGCGGATGGCCTGTGGGGGGAAGGAGAGGGTAGGAGAGAGAATGAGGGTGTTTTGAAGTGCCTCAGAAGCCCACATGCGCACTCAAGTCCGCCGAGCCAGGCGCATCCAGCACATTCACAAACTCATGCTTGCGTATGGCCTGTGGGGCACGAGATAGAGAGAGAGTGAGTGAGTGAGGGAAGCAAAGGAGGTGGGCGACAGATCGAGGGAGGTGAGTGAAGGACGCAGAGGTTATCTAAGATACAACAAACTCGTGCTAACGTACTTGTATAGCCTAAGGGGAGAGAATGAGAGTGAGGACGCAGAGGAGGAGCAAGAGAGAAGAGGCAGGGATATGAGAGGATTCAAAGCGCACTTGCAAGCTGTCTGATATCATTCTGTCCTCCCCGTAATCCACTATCAGCGCCGCCCCACCGTCTCTCGCCACCCTCTCCGTGATCTGCAGCGCAATCTTCACTGCTATAGGACTAACTTCCACGTGGACGGCTGCCGCCCGCTCCTCCATTGGGGCCCATTGCATGCGAGGAAGAAGACAAAGAGTGCTTGCGGCACTCGGCCCGGGGGAAAGGACGAAACGGAAAGGGTAGTCGGTAGATGGACGGCCACTGTTGTCCCCTTGTGCATGGCTTGGGTGGGAGGGGTCTTCAGATGGATGGCCTTTTTTGTCTGTTTCGGCCACATCAACCAGTTTCTCACACCACCCTCTCTCCGTTTTTTGCCATGCCATGCCAATGTCAAGACAGCGCGATAACATGCAATGCCAATGTCAAGCCAATGCTTTAACATGCCATGCCATGCCATGGCGTGTTAAATATGCCTGGTTGTGACAGCAAGGCACGGCATGAAAGAGGAAGACAATCTGCAGCCTAATGACGCCTGCAGACTGCACGGGCTCACGCATTTATCACTGATCAAGCATTCCACAGTTGCAGGCGCATTGGATCTAGTGGACTGGTATGTGCTAAACGAAATGCTCTGTAGTGAATGTAGTGGGCGCTCACTTGGAACTGATGCACGGGCAGGGCATCAGAGAACTCGTGCGCAATGAGGATGGTGGGCACTGAGGGGTAGAAGAGAGCGGACGGAGAGAGAATGGAGAGGAGTAGAGAGGGGTGAAGCAATGCAGACCAGGGCAGGCATTGGAGAAGCAAGGAAAAGCGAAAAAAAAAAAAATCATTTTTTAGCACTTAATGTATGCAGGCGAGCATGTCAGACGATGCCTGTATGTGTGTGCACGAACACAGATACACAATGGAGGTGGAAGGGTGTGTGGGGGATGGATGGAACGTGCTGTGTGCAGTATCAAGTCGGTTGCAGCACGAATGTCTCACCTCCCCCTGGCACATCTCACCTCCCCCTGGCACATCTCACCTCCCCCTGGCACATCTCACCTCCCCCTGGCACATCTCACCTCCCCCTGGCACATCTCACCTCCCCCTAGCACATCTCACCTCCCCCTGGCACATCTCACCTCCCCCTAGCACATCTCACCTCCCCCTGGCACATCTCACCTCCCCCTGGCACATCTCACCTCCCCCTGGCACATCTCACCTCCCCGTGGCACATCTCACCTCCCCCTGGCACATCTCACCTCCCCCTGGCACATCTAACCTCCCCCTGGCACATCTCACCTCCCCCTGGCACGTCTCACCTCCCCCTGACACATCTCACCTCCCCCTGGCACATCTCACCTCCCCCTGGCACATCTCACCTCCCCCTGGCACGTCTCACCTCCCCCTGGCACATCTCACCTCCCCCTGGCACGTCTCACCTCCCCCTGGCACATCTGTGACACTGACACTCAGCCCTGACACTCCTGTCCCTGGGGATGCCTGTTGGCTTTGTCTGTAAATGACGGGTATTTGAGACAACTCAAAGCACATCTCACCTCCCTCAGGCACGTCCTCCAGAGCAGAGTGCCATGTGACTGTGGCGCCACTCAGCCCCGACACTCCCGTCCCTGGGAATGCCTCCTCTGCTGCTGCTGCTTCTGGGGATGATGGTGGTGGGGGTGATGATGGTGATGATGTGGTGGTGGTGATGGTGGTGATGATGGTGATGAGGAGGAGGAGGACGACGATGGTGAGGAGGAGGGTGATTTTGGTTGTGATGGTGCCGCTGCAGATGGTGACCCTTGGGGATCATGCTCGCCTACTGCTGCAACTGGTTTTCCTGCTGACGCCCCTCCACCAGTGCTTGCTGTCCTCTCCTCAGTCCCCCCATCACCCGCCCTCCCCTCCTATGGCCCCCCATCATCCGCCCTCCCATTTTCCGCCTCTGCAGCAGAGCGGTACTTGAGAGTGGACCATTGCAGGCGCCTGAGAGGGCATGTCAACGAGCGCCATCGCCGGACGCGGACTCGCGGCGATCGCCGAAGCTGAGCAATTCGCGCCGCCAGAAGAGGGCATGTCAAACATGGAGCCCGAAATCGCAACGCGCAACATCTACGGCACGGAGGAACATCCTCTCCCCGGATCTGCATCCCACCACCTTCAAGGGATCCTGCGTGGTACAAACATCGGCACCTTCGACGCGGAAGGAACTCCGCGCCCCTACACGAAGGAAGCCTTCCTGAAGATCTACCCCCACTGGCGCGACCCTGACCCCAAGAAGAAGCTCACAATCGCGCAAGAAGAGGAGCTGGCGTGACACGAAGCAGAGGAGCTTCGCCAGCGCAGTCTCGCCGAGGCACGTGGCACGTTCGCCTTCGGCGGATGGGGCGCTGAAGAAGAGGAAAGTGCCTCCAATGAAGGGGGTTGGGGAAGCGCCGGCGGATGGGGAACGAGCGACACTGGCGGATGGGGCGCCGCAACTGGCGGCAACACTGGCGGCACCTGGGCAAGTGCGGGCGGTGGATGGGGCACCGCATCTGGCGGCGAAACAAGTGGTTGGGGCACCTCCGGCGGAGGCTGGGGAACTTCCCGTGAAGACCAAAGGGGGGAAGAAGAAGCAGAGGCGGAACCTCCTGTTGTTCCTCTCGGTCGTCCCCCGTGCCGACCTGCACCCGCGCTACCCCCACCTGACGTCCAGCCGCACCGCGACCCTTGGGACACCATCGATTGAGGAATGAGCCCTCAACCCCCCGTCGCACAGTCCACGGACCTGACCCCGAGCCGCGCGAGCCCACCTTTTTCCCCGGAACGATCCCCGGTACCAACATCCCCTTCTCCGTGATTCTCGACACGGAATTCTTGGCGGTGATGCTGACGACTGCGAACGACGAAGAAGAAGAAGCTGAAGAAGCAGCAGCGGATTCTGCCCTAGTACCTGACGAGGACCCCGAAGCAATGCGCGCACGCTACATGCACACCTCTGGATTCCGCGCCAACGATGACCTTTGGCACAAGCGCCTCGGTCACCCCTCGCGCGTGACACTGAAGAATTGCATCGAGGCTGGCGTGTTCGCGCCTGGCGCACTCCTGCGCCCTGATGGCACCAAAGTGAGGAGCATCTCACAACCACGCAATTGCACCGTCTGCCCCAAAGCCGCGCTGAGTCATCAACCCTTCCCCCTGCTAGAACCCGGAACCAACCGCTACGCCAAGCTGGAGAAGGTGTATAGCGACTTCCTCGTCGTAGGCTACTGCGGAACCAACGACGAGCAGTACGCGCTCACATTCATCGACGCAGGAACCCGCTACGTGTGGGTTGTGAACCTGGAGGCCCGAAGCAGAGCCTACGAGGCCTTCCGCCTTAGGCTGGCGCACGCGAAGAGGCAGTCCGGAGAGAAATTGAAGGTCTGGCAGTCGGACGGCGCGGCGGAGTTTCGCAGCAAGGAAATACAGGACTACCTGGCGTAGAAAGGAATCGAGCACCACGTCTCCCTCCCCTACGCACACCAGCAGCAGAGCGTTGCCGAGCGCACAAACCGCACGCTCATGACGAAGGTACGAGCGCTGCTGAAGCAGTCCAAGCTTCCCCCGACTTACTGGACGTACGCGATGCATCACGCCGTGCGGATGCACAACCTGCTGTCAACCACCGCCATCACCGGAAACCTGTCCCCGCATCTGAAGTGGACGGGCACGAAGGGCGACACATCCATGCTCCGCGTGTGGGGGTGCATGGTGCAGTACCGCCCGCCGACATCAACCATCGGCAAATTCGCAAGCCGCGCGCGCTGGGGGATCCACCTCGGCATCAGCCGCGAATACAAAGCATGGCTAATCCTGGACCTCATCAGCCAGAAAATTACAAAAGCACGCGACGTAATTTTCTACGAACGACTCTTCCTCGGCCAGTTCCGCGAAGACGAACGGACAAACGCAAATCGCGTCTACGCCAACGACGGGCACAGCTACGCCACGCCCGAGGACGAAGCCGCCGCAGCCATCCTGGAGCAAGATACCAGAGGCGAATTCACAGGAGGAGATCGCTGCAGCAGCAACGACGACGATGACGAAGACCCCTCAGGTGGAGGAGTCGGCAGAGCAGGAGGATTCGGCGGAGCAGGAGGAAGCGGCGGAGGCGCAGCAGCACCACCGCCTGAACCAGAGAGCGACGACGATGACGTACAGGAGGTCATCTTGCAGCATCGCCACGATAGCACCGTCTTAGGACTACAGCTGCTAGGGCTCCACACCGCCACCTCAACGGCCCCACGTGTCATCGAGCCCAAGAATCCGCGCCAGGCACTCACGGGACCACACAGCAAAAAGTGGCGCGAGGCGATGGATGCAGAAATCAGGGCAGTCGAATCCCGCGACACCTTGGTGTTAGTCGATCACGCCGCAATCAAGGGGAGAAGGATTCTCTCCAGCAAATGGGTCTTCCGCGTGAAGACCGCAGCGGATGGCACAATCGAGCGATTTAAGGTGCGCTGGGTCGTACGCGGCTACGATCAGAGGCACGGCATTGATTTCGACCAGACATTTGCGCCAGTCGACCGTCACACCTCGGTCAGAATTCTGCTCGCCATCGCTGCCGCACGACACCTCCCGCTCCGACAAATCGATGTGAAGAACGCGTTCCTTTACGCGCTAGTGGACGCAGTGATCTACGTGGAGCAGCTGCACACATACGGCGAAGGGGACTCACGCGTGTGCGAGCTACGCAAATCCCTCTACGGGATCAAACAGGTGCCAAGGCTCTGGCAGCAGTACCTGCACAACATCCTGCTTGAAATAGGCTTCAAGCAGTTTCCTCACGATCCAGGGATGTATCACCGAGACTTCCGCGGTGAATACATCCTGCTCACGGTCTATGTCGACGACCTCCTCTACACAGGGTCAAGCAACGAACTGCTTGAGCAGTTCGAGAAGAATCTCGCGGGGCGCGTTGACATCACCTGCAACCACGACGTGAAGCAGTTTTTCGGCCTCAACATCTCTTACTCACCAGAAGCCATTCACCTCTCAGCAGCCAAGTACGCAGACGAGCTGGGCAAACGCTTCAACATTGCTCCTGCACCACTCTCCACCCCTTACCGCACTCCAGGACCGAACCACAAGCCTGACAACAAAGCCCTATCCCCCGCTGGACTCCAGACTTACCAGCAGCAGCTGG